ACTTTCGCGAAGGGCGACATCCGCTCCTCGCTTCTCCGCGCCGCTGAGCGACTCTCGCGTCGTGAGAAGATCCGCGCGGAAAAGAGACGATAGATGGGGTCGCATATTTTGTCACGTTGTTTTCTTACTATTCTCATGAAATATAATAGACTTTTTTTTTTCTCTTTGAAACATGATATCATACATCCCCATGTCCTATGGGCAAAAATGATTTGGGCATAGGATATTGAATCTATCCACTTTCCTAACATTTAAGCATCCCTTAGCTATCAAGCAGCGCGATATCTTCTGAAATCATCACGAAGCAGTAGTACGCTGTATCAAATCCCCCACGAAAGAACGAGAGAATGAGCCCCGTCCCTTCCCCCTCCCTAGCTCTGCATACCTAGCTCGAGAGGCACCGCGATCGCCCAACTATATCCCCCAAAAACCCAAACCATATTCACCATATCCCGCTATCCCACAATCAAAAGATAAAGGATGTTGGCAGCCTAAGGCACCCATAGGGCTGAATCTTATGGCGTTGTGGCCTCAGGCACACGGAAAGGTGGAGAACGGTGGGTCTATCACCAAGTTCCGAATTGGGGTATACAACGGCAGCCGCGGGGGTGTAGCGGTCTTCACCAGTGCCACCGTAGTCCAAATCGCGGTGCGACGGCAGTGTCTGGGTTTGAATCCTAAGCGCGGCAAGACTGCTGTTCTCTTTATTTTTTGGGGGGAGTGCTGCGTGGCCTGGAAGGCCGGAAGGGGCGTCAGAGAGATGTCATTTGGGTTTGGGTGCCTGGTGGTGGAAAGGGAAGGCGCGGTAGGCCGCCGCGGCGCTGTCGGATTGCTGGGGGTGTTCGGGGAGATGGGGAGAGGGCCTCCTCCGGCTTCGGCTTCGGGTTTGGGGGGTGTCTTCTGCAATCTCTTATGGGTCGGGTGATCAGAGAAGAAGAAGCAGTAGAGAGGGAACTGAATGATGAAGTGAGGGGTCTGGTGTTTTGATATACTCGCTCAGCTATCCAGCGTGAAGGTACAGGTACAGGTATAATATACAAAGATTGAAGCGCAAATGTGCCTCCCACTCAGAGCATTTGATCAAGGTCATGTCATATCGGGTGCATGACATCAAAGGGAACCTAAGCTTCACAACCCGGCCATCCCATGACTCTTGGAAACCTCGCGTAGTGAGCATATGGTATATACAGTATGCGCCGCACGCAACTTGGTTATACTGACGCCCCGATCCTCTCTCGGTCTTCGTTTTTCAAGCCTTCCCAGCATCAGCAATAACCCCCCTGGATGCGAAATAGTAGGCTCGACGAGATGTACAAGACAGTACCAAAGGCCAATAGTCCGTACAAGGGCGTGGTCGCCCTGAATTATCCTGATCATGGCTTGGACGAAGGCATCATTCCGAATGACATGGTCCATTTCTTCTTAGCAGGTGAAACTTGATCTCCCTGGGTGGGGCTGGGTGATGATGAGACTAGATTATGTGCCAACCCGGCTGGCAGGTGGGGATGAGACGCTGTGACATGAGGCGGAGGAGGGGGGGATGTGGTATCAACAGGCGTGGGACGAGTTAAGGGGGCAGACGTAGCAGTAGTTGTTGAATGTTTAGGAGAAGAAGACGGTGGAGAAGATGTTTGGGGAAGGGGGTTGGAAGTGGTGACTGTCCGGTGCAGATCGAAGACCATGCGCTTGAGCTGAGCAATCTCGGCTTGTAGGGAGGCGATCTCGGTCTTCTGGGCGTTGACGACTGCGCTGTTGTGCTGCTGAATATCATGGGCTTGCTGACTGATTTCCTTCAAGAGGGTGGCGCGATCGTCTTGAACGAGGTCTCCAGTACCGCCCTCTTTGGCGGCTTTGTGCATAGCCACCGGTCCAGAGATAATGGCAGAAAGGACATCCTGGGCGTATGTTTTCATCATATCTTGCCATTGAGTGGTGGAGGCTCGCTCGGTGGTCAGACCGTCGAGCTGCTCGCCGACAGCTTGGACAAAGGAATAACACTTCTCCCACATCGTCTGTTGTGAGGCCCGGGCGGCTTCTGTGCCTGCTGCGGTCTGAGCGGCCTTCCAGCGGTTGTAACGCGGATCGCGCTCGAAGGTCAAATCTAGTTGTTTTTCCGCCCACTTCCAGTCAAACCCGCTCTTCACAAACGCTTGAATGATTTTCTGGGAGATTTCGGTTTGCTCGCATTCATCACAGAGGTAAACCATCTTGACAATCAGGCGCTCGACGCGCGTCGGCCTGTGTTCCGTTGTCGACCCAATAAAGGCGACGGTCCGTTGCAAGGCCTGGATACCCTTTGCCCAGTCAGACCGAATGGCGTAGAACCCGAGATAGGAGCTCAAAGTCGCGTAGTCGTCCATATACCCAGATGCTCGAGATACTTGGAGGTAGGCGTCCGCACGGTCGGGCTGATTAAAGCGTAGGCAAGACCGAATCAGAGTGCCGTAGATGACGGCGTTCGCACTGTCGACTGGTGGGACCTGAATCTCGATGCCGTTGACCACCACATTCTTGTAGTGGCCTAGATTACCCATGTCCAGCGGATACCCATCCCCGGCTAATTGGCGAAGAAACAAGTCAAAGGCCTTGAGATTCTTGGATTTGCGGAAGAAGTTCAGGATCGAGATGATAAGAGACGATGTGAGCGGGAATTTATGGGGTATGATGGCGTGTAGAATCATTTCACAGATGTCGTTTTCTCGGGTCTTGGTAAATGCCAGCAGCATGTGCTTCAGACCTAGACTTCGGTCAGGATTGGTGGATTTCGTGAGGTTGTTAGCTAATCTGAGGAGAAGCTCTTGGAGAGACATCCTGTTCGCCAGGTAAAGATTGGTATCTCGGTATAATTCCCCGTCGAGCCTCTGGCGCTCCGTCATTTGATCTTGAGGGGAAAGCGAGTTCATCTCCGCTTCCAAGTCTTCTATGCTGGAACGTGGGGAAGCTTTCACGCTCTTCATTCGGTTACGGAGCTTGTTTAAGTGGGTAAGAAGCTCCGGAACATTGGGCGCAGGCATGGAATAGTCGACTGCGTATTTCATCTGCAGACCCTGGTAACTATGAGCAATTCCCCGTCGGAGTAGCATCCGAATGGCCAATTGCTTCAGCGCCATTTTGCGGATAGCCTTTTGGCGAGTACTGTTTTCCTTGAGCCATTGAGGGGTGTCAAAGTCTTCGAGATTCCACAAGTTATCCTCCTCCGTGACTTCCAACAATGGGTCTTCGCTGATTTTGTTGAGCTCTTCTAGGCTGTTTTCGTCTCGCCGTTGATTGCTCTTGCTGAGAGCGAGGTTCCGACTCGTATGGAATGAGCGACGCGAGATATTCGTGGACGGCCATCGGTACCGGTAGGATCTTGGTCTTGCTTGTGTGGCGGTTTGTCGGCTCGGAGTTATTTCCATTCCCTCGTCGCGACGGGCGAAAATGGCCTCTACCAGGCGTTCCTCCTCATCAAGCAGCGCATTGACCTCACCCTTGGCCGCTGCGATCTTCTCCTCCCACTCATGGCGGCGCTGACCTTTGGCCTGGGCGTCTGCTAGGGCCGCTGCGGCGAAGATACTCGTGTACAGGGCTGTGACCGAATTGCCTAGGCGGAGACGTTTCTTGCTGGCTGCTGTAGCCCCACGCGATGCTACGCCTTGGGAGACGGTGCTGAGGCAGGAGACGCATCGGCACGTTGACTGCGCCGGGGTGACGCGGGACCAGAGACCTTTCATTCTCCGGTCATTTCTGCGCCCTGAATTGAGACTAACAAGGTGATTCCAAGATATGCCAGGATCCAATTGACCGGGCTCTCTGACGAGCGAAACCAATGGGCAAGGGAGGGATAGGCGTTCAGTGGAGCTTGTGGACTGGAGGAGCAATTGGCCGATGTCGAAGTTTGGAACTTTTGCTTCCAACAGGACTGCATCGGCAAAAGTCGCACCACCACACCGCTTGCAAACGGTGCAAACCACCCACTAGTCTGTTCGGCCCCCGGCCGGAGCCCCCCTTCCTATTCCCCGATTGTCATCAATACATACGGTTACGGCAGTCCACTTTGAACTTCTACCTACTCCGGCGAAGAATTGCTTTGGCTAGTGAACAGAATATTGATCTGTCATATTTGCAGGTCACTTCTGGGAATCTGGTCTGGTCATTGCTTCTGTTCATTTGATATTATTCGACAAGCCGGTGCGATTATTGCTTGACGTGACCATGCTCGTCACGGTAGCTACTGCTCTCCTGGCCCTAAGCGGCACTCTGGTCAGCGCCCACGGTTCGCACTCGAATGACCAGCCACCCTCGTCCGACTGGGCAACACGGCATATGCAGGGTAAGGACCTTGTGGAAACCTCGGGGGATATTATCCGAAAGCCAATGCAGTGTCACTGATTCAATTGGGTGCGTTCATAGAGGAACATCACATCGATGCCTTCGATCCCGCCTCCTTCTTCTCCCTCCACGATTACGATGCCTCGGGAGTGTGGACCCCTGAGGAAGTGCGCAAGACCTACGGCATGGACGACGAGTCCAATGCGGGAGTGACAGAGGATAGCAAGTTGCAAGGTCTCCGCGAAGTCTTCAGCATCTTCGATCCCACCAACACGGGCGTCATCAGTCGCGACAACTGGATGCGTCTCATTGCGGACGGAGCCCGGCTCCCTGACCTTGGACTCGGACCGGGCCATCATGGTGACATTGAATATGAATATGAGATCCATCACTTCGAAAAGTTCCACGGTGAAGATGCAAAGGAGGAGGACCTCACTCACCCCGAGGATATCGAACACTTCCGGAGACATGATGAGGAGGATCTTGCCATGGAGCGCCTCGAACAGCTCGAGAGTATGCAGATCGTGGAGGCAAACATACCCCAAAAGTTCCTCAAGCGGAGCTGAAGATCTGTACTGTAGAGTTCTTGCGCTGTTGCCACTGTACTGTACATATGTTTCATGAGATGATCTTGAGCGTCGATTGCATCACCCGGAGGTTGGGGTTCATGGAGTATTGGTGTGCGTGGTTCATTTGCCACGAGTGTCGGAGGCTTCTATCTCTTCTCTTGAAGATAACCGCACATCGAAGACGCAATGCATCACCCCCGGCGCATAAGTCTTGACCTGCTCAACATGCCGACACCTAGCAGCAGCAGCAGCCACCTTTTTGGCCTCTACTTCTAAGACTTCCACTCGCAGCCTCCCCAATTCCGCGGTGACCTCGTCCTTCTTCTCCTCGATGCCCTGCACATCGACATTCTCATGAACATGCACCCACCCACCCTTCTCAGCGTCCACAATCTTGCAGGCATTCGCATACGCGAAGCAAGATGAAGGCAGCAGTCCCAAGTTCACGTGCCTGACCCTACTCCATTGCCCTGCTCCCATACACTCCCTAATTCCCCCCAGAATCTCCGCCGCAAATCGATTATCCCCATGGAACACCACCACGCGATCCTCCTCCGTCAAACCCTCCACCACTTCCTTTAGTGACTGTCCCCCCAGTAACAATCCATCCTCTCCAACGCGGAACACCTTACACCCCCACCCATTCTCTTTACACCCTCTCCGCAACCCCTCCACCGACCACCCATTGATCTCGAACCCCCACACCCTCTTCACCCCACGCTTCAGATACGAGTACACGAAATACCCAATCCCAGCATACATGTCCACCACGCTGATCTCCGAGACCTTCTCCCCGAGTTGCTCCTCAACCAACCCCTCAAACTCACTGCCCAGAATCCGCGCTTTCTCAGTAATATTGCCCCGCGAGAACATGGTATACAAGGGCGCCCAGATCTGTACGATCCCATGGTTTTGGACAGTACGTACCCAGAACGCCTGCTCAAGGTCTGTGGCGCTCGGACATGCTATCGCCGCTTCACCTTCCCCCTGCCCCTGCGACGCAGAGGCATCCGGTAGAGGCCCGAAGTCCCCGTATAAGGGAATCAACCCTCCCGGGCTGCGGATCCGGTTCTCCGCCCCGGAGTTGGGGTCCGTGAGTGCAATGGGCGCGTTCATGGCCACGTGGGTGAGGCCATAGCGGGCAAAGGACTGGAGAAGGGTGGTATAGAGGGTTTGCCGCTGCGTCGCGGTGAGATCTTCGTACAAGGAGTGCCAGGCGGGTGGAGTGGTGAAGGCGTTCACCGGGAGGAGTAAGAGAGGTTCGTAGATGGTGAAGCGTTTGGGAAGGGAGGTGAGGGTCAGGTTGTGCTTGGCTAGGGTATCTGCAGGGAGGTGCTGAGTGATAAAGGCTTGGATGCCATGGTGGAGGGGGTTGAGGGTCTGTTTCCTTGGCTTTCTGGGGGGGCGAGGAGATGATGTGTGTGGAGCTGGGGCTGGGGCGGGCGATTGAGCTTGGGGACTTGTAACAAGTTCCTGCTCTGGAAAAAAGGTGTTTGATTGCATTTTGTCTTCAAGCTGGGGCTTGATTGTGGATTCTAATGCATGGAGCAATGTATGATTCTGGTTGATAACCGCGCGGTGATGGATCGCGCGTTGATGATCTGTGTGAAGTTTTAGCGAAGTGGATTGTTCCAGAGCAATGCTGTTTACTTACGCAGCAGATTAACTCAGATACTCCCTCAATTCATATTCTTGTTCTTACATTTAGGTATCAACGAGGTTCGCTGCTTTTAGTCCGGGTGTTTCCCGCATGGAGATAAAAATGACATGTCATGTGACCATGCGTGTTCATAGCTAGAGGATTGAATTAACTACGCAAGATCTAGACAGCTTGCTGCATGTGTAAGGAGACCAAGGCCAGATCTTTGTGTCCTATCCTGGAAATGGAAGATCTTCTAGCAGTATGCCAAAAATCGATCTCTGCCTACTTACGTGAAGCGATCGCAACGCGACAGAAAGGCGGCGACGCGAGCGGACACGCGATTTGCCCGACTTATTCCATGGCCCTCCACCGCTTTCTCATCATCGCAACAGTCTTCGAGGAAAGGGAACTTTTGAAAGGGAACTTTTGATTTAAAGTATTGATCACTTGGTCTCTGCCCTGCGTCGGACGAGACTTACGGGAAGCACTGAAACCTGTCTGGCGAGGGTTGATTGCTTCGGTTGCGTTATCGATCGAAACCATTTAGCCCTCTGTCCCGCCGCCCTCGCCTGGTCACTAGAACAGCCACGATGGATCCTGATATGGAGGTTGACACGTTAGAGCCACGGGGTACCAAAAGACCAGCAGAGGAGGTCGAGCAAAATGATGAGCCGAAGAAGCCCAAGAGAATCAGGGTCAGTGGCTCACCCGCACCATCTCCGGCGTTGCCATACTCACAACCATAGGCCCTTGACCCTGATGTGGTCAACAAGATTGCAGCTGGAGAGATCATTGTAGCTCCCATGCATGCCTTGAAGGAGTTGATCGAAAACGCTGTTGACGCTGGCTCGACTTCTATTGAGATTCTGGTCAAGGACGGCGGCCTGAAGCTACTCCAGATCACGGATAATGGCCACGGCATCGACGTGAGTTTGTGCTAAACTTCCGTGACTTCGATCCGCTAACCCGACGAAGCGAGACGATCTACCCATCCTCTGCGAGCGGTTCACTACTTCGAAACTGAAGGCCTTCGAGGACCTCTCCTCGATAGGCACCTACGGCTTCCGAGGCGAAGCCCTGGCCAGTATCAGCCACATCGCCCATCTGACCGTCACCACGAAGACGGCCGGATCCAGCTGTGCCTGGAAAGCGGTTTACAGTGATGGCAAGCTTGTTCCTGCGAAGCCAGGCCAAAGCGCTGCCCCCAAAGCCACTGCCGGCCGCGGAGGCACGCAAATAACCGTGCGTATGATGATGATGGCGCAGCCCTGGCGGACAATTTGCTGACCTGCGTAGGTTGAAGATCTCTTCTACAACGTCCCAACGAGACGACGAGCATTTCGCTCCGCGAGCGAAGAATACGCTAAGATTCTGGACGTGGTTGGACGGTATTCCGTCCACTGCGCGGGGGTGGCCTTCTCGTGCCGCAAACACGGCGACTCGGGCGTCAGCATCTCCACCCCGGCCAACGCAAGCACGATCGATCGCATCCGACAGATCCACGGCAGCGCCGTGGCCAACGAGCTTGTAGAGTTCCAGATCGAGGACGAGAAGCTCGGGTTCCGCTCGTCGGGCCTGGCCACCAACGCCAACTATCACGTCAAACGCACGGTCATCCTGCTATTCATCAACCATCGCTCGGTCGAGTCGACCGCCCTGAAGCGAGCCATCGAGCAGACATATTCAAATTTCCTCCCCAAGGGCGGCCACCCCTTCGTCTATCTGGACTTGGAGATCGAACCCCAACGGGTCGACGTCAACGTCCACCCCACGAAGCGCGAGGTGAATTTTCTGAATGAAGATGAGATCATCGAAAGCATCTGCGCCGACATCCGCTCCCGGCTGGCACAAGTCGACTCCAGCCGGACATTCCTCACGCAAACCCTCCTCCCAGGCGTGCGAACCATGGCGGCCGAAGCAGAAGAACCAGACGACGACGACGACAACGACAGCCCCGGAGGGGCCCCGAAAACCCCGAAAACACCAGCAACCACCAAGAAACCCTACGAACACAACCTGGTGCGCACCGACTCGAAAGTCCGCAAGATCACCTCCATGCTCACACCCGCGACCACCACCACCACCACCACCTCTTCAGCCGAAAACCCAACCACCAGCGCTGCAACCGTCCTCGACGAAGAAGGCCTCCACTACGAAACCACAGCGCGCGAACCCCTCCGCATCGCGCTAACCTCCATCAAGAACCTCCGCGCCGCCGTGCGCAGCAGCATGCACACGACGCTGACCGAGACCATCGCGGCCCTCACGTACGTGGGGCTGGTCGACGAACGGCGCCGCATCGCCGCCATCCAAAGCGGCGTGAAGCTCTACCTGGTCGACTACGGCCTCTTCAGCCACGAGTTCTTCTACCAGATCGGCCTCACCGACTTCGGCAACTTCGGCGTCATAACCCTCGACCCGGCGCCGCAGCTCATCGACCTGCTCCGCATCGCCGCCGACGCCGAAGCCGAGGCCGCCGAACACCAACCCTCACCCCCATCCTCAACCTCGACAGCAACCACAGCAGCGCAGGAAATCTACACCAAAGCCCCCGAAGTCATCGCACAGACCCTCATCGCGCGCCGCGAGATGCTGAACGAGTACTTCTCCCTGCACATCACGCAGGACGGGCGCCTCGTCTCCCTCCCCCTCCTGCTGAAGGGCTACCTGCCGTCGCTGGCCAAACTGCCCAAGTTCCTGCTGCGGCTGGGGCCCTACGTCGACTGGTCGAGCGAGGAGGCCTGCTTCCGGAGCTTTCTGCGCGAGTTGGCCGCGTTTTACGTCCCGGAGGCGTTGCCGGTGCCGGTGCCAGCTCCGCAGACACAGGCACAGGCACCTGCAGCAGCAGCGGGGGAGTATACCGTCGCCACCGTTCCCAATACCACTACCAATGAAACTAATCACGAGAACTCTGGCGAGAAGGAAACCACACCGCAGGGACCCGCCGCAGAAGAGGAAGCAGAAACGTTCGTTCAGCAGCGCCGCGCGCAGATAGCCCGGATGCTGGAGCACGTAGTGTTCCCGGCGATGCGGGGCCGGTTGGTGGCTACGACGCGGCTGTTGGGCGGGGTGATCGAGGTGGCGGATTTGAAGGGGCTGTATCGGGTGTTTGAGCGGTGTTGAGGTTCTGCGGTTCGTGTTCGTGGCGGTGGTGGTGGATTTGCTTTGTGGGTGTGGGATGGATGTCTGTATATATCTATCACGAGGAATCGGGCTGTTTAGTCGACTGTTGTCTTGACTACCTTGAGAGCCGAGGTGGTTTGAGGTGTGTAGAGTATAGAAGGGATTGTTTGGGTTGATGATGGAGTTCAGAAGCAGATGGGAAGGAATGACACAGTATATGGTCTATAGAATCATTCGGCAAGATCAACTCCGCGGCACAGAGCATCGTGCTTCGCTAGACAGACATACCTACCCTTCACCGCAGGTATGTACTGTACACATGAGCCTACATCCTGGAAAGCGAAGAACACAAGTGTCCAATGCCAATCTGAACTCCAACACCAACAGAAATCAGCCGGCACCTACACGTACCATCACCACACCATCTAATCAATTCAAAAGTTCCAATCAAAATCATCGTCCGGTAATAAATAAGGTAGTACAAGCAAGATGAGATACCACTAAAAAGGCTTCCAAACCTAGCACACAGCACGAGAATCCCATTACCAGACGCCCACACAACCCAGCCGAACACACAAAGATAACTAGTCTCATACATCACTAGCATATATCCGGATGCATGTATCAGATGAACCACAGAAATTCAAGTTACTTCTCACGCGGGAATCAAATCCCGTCCAACGCCAATCGAAAACAAAAAAAAAAAAAAAAAAAGCGGATTTCCATTAGATCGGTTCAGTTCATGCCCTCGTAAAATTTCCGTTTCAACAGTCGTCAAAAAATGGTTGTGCAGGTGTGAGCCTGTGTTCCCAGCTCTAAGGAAACGATCCCTGCAATCTTGTTCTTCTCGTCTGATCCTGGTTGCATTGCAGCTCCTATACATCATGCAAAGCAGGGCCTGGCGAGGTATTTGCTTGTCTGCAGGGGTGGTCCTGCAGGAGGTGCGCATGTATACCATGCAGAGTCGCTCCACTATCGGGAATATGGCTTGTTCATAAGCGCGATCTCGCGGGCCACAGTCGGCCATTCTAGTTCTCTTCTGGGCGTCTTGTTGCGCTTTTGTACTTGCAACTCCTCCCATTTGAGCAGTTCATATCTGAGTACCACGTTAGCATGGCGGAACGGCATATAACCGTAGCAAACTCGAAAGACTTACACGAAACGCAGGTGAGGTTGGATTATAACATTGAGTCTTCTTGCACGAACGAAGCAGCTGGCATAGATGTAAGCAAAGATATCAGACGCGATCTCTGTCAGAACTTACTAAGCTCTAGGGAACGACAAATTAAGAGACGACATCACTTCGGCTATGCAGATGGTAGCCGAGCGTGAGACTCCCACACGGCAATGAACCAAAGTAGCCATACCATCGCGTTTTCCTTGACCTGGAGAAAGGTAAGCAACATAGCCTTACTTGCTGTGACGATGACTCTTACGGATGAATTCCAAGCACTTTTCAAACTCCTGAGTCAACGGATCAATGCCGTTATCTTGGACCTTAGTAATGTGCATCACATTCTTCGGATCCATCTTCGTGGTTTCGGAGGCAGTCCACGTCACCGATTCACCAATACTTAAAACACGACGGATACCGAGCTCCCAGAGCATTTCCGGATTGTTCGCATGGGACAGGTTACCAAGGTACATATATGGTAAGATCCGACTCGGGAGGGAGCCATCACAATACCTGAACCATTGCGGGTCGGGGAGGCTGGTAAGTTTGTGAGACTTGGTGGCCGGACTCTCTTGCAGGAGTCTCCCTTGCACGCTGCTCAAGAACGTGACATCCGAGGGATACGCAAAGAAGTTCCGCTTCTTCTCACTGTGGAGGCGGAGCCAGGCATTGGGGGCGGAGATGCCTTCGGCGAACATCACGTATGCGATTGCTAGGAGTGAGCTCTCAGTGTAACCGTCGGGACAATGAATCAGGATCTTGTGTGGCCTTCTGCTGAGAGGCGGCATTGAGATGTCGCCATCGGCGTCAACAGTGTGCTCCGGTTCATCCGGGTTTGCCAAATAGTACAACCAGCGGATCGTGTTGACCAAATCATCAACTTCTCGGGTCTCACTCGAAGGTGCGAGGATCGATCCCGATGAGGGAAATTCCAGCTTCTGTGGCCCCTCTTCGAGTTGTTTATTAAGGTTCGCCAGGAAACGAGGCCCAGGAATGCTCGCTAGCTCGCTTGTTTCGATCAGTAGGTCAAAAGTCTCCGCAGATGGGCAACCACCGGGTCCAGATAATAATAAATAGTCGGATGTCGGGCCCAACCATATGTTCCTTGAGATCTCGGATGCACGGGACATCTCGCACATTTCGAACCGTTCCCATTGAACTGTAGGCGATTAGCTGCGCTCTTACCTCGAATAAGAGGTTTACTCACAGAAATCCATCACTTGGTTCGTGAGCTGACCGTTGCTACCGATAGCGACCAGCCCCGGGGACTTCGATTCTATCTCGGAGAAAGGACCTGTTGGAGACTTAGTTTGACGTTCGCATACACCGACCAATTCAACTTACAAGCAAGGATAAATGTGTTGTACGAGGGTAAGCTTTGCTCGAGGTCGTTCTTGAGTCTCCAATGATATTGTGCTGTGGCCAGTCTTGCCGCAATATCCAAAATCTGATTTTGACTGACATTATCCTCACCATAGACGATGATATCAGATAATGGAGCCAGCTTTGCAGTTTGTATCTGGAAGTTGCGCACTGAGAAGCCTTCCCGCGGGTCTACTGCAAGGAACTCTCTACCTGACGGGCCTAGCACCTCATCCGGAGACACTGCGCCCTTGATGCGTGCCCTGCTCAAGTCTCCGCCGACCTTGACGATCGTGATGCCTCGCCAGCACATGGGAAGCCGCCTGAGGGAGCGCCGGCGGTTGGTGAAGAAGCCGACCTGCAGATGATTGGCTGGATGAAGTCCATGAAGCCACGGGAAAACCTGAGATGGATCTGGTAACGGCTGAGAAGCCCAATGGTCTAAAGCAGCCGCCAAGCTTGCGCGATCTAAGGAGTATATCGGAGGAGACTGCGAGAGTTGGAGAAATGCATCGGGCGGGTGTAAAAGCGAGGGAGCTTGAAGGGTAGTGTTTCCGCTTCCAGCTGGGGAAGGGGTATGAGCGGAAACCGGAGAAGGGCCCGTTGGGCAAACAGGCAGATGCTTGTTTGGGATAGGCGACGAGGTTCTGTTGAGGTTCAAGGCGGGGGTGATCCCCGACGGTGGGGGAGTCGAATGTCGCAGCGTGTGCTGCTGCACCACAACTGTCGCCATACTGGTATTTGCTCCAATGATTGCGGCCGGGCGAAGGTATGCACCCAAGAACAATTGTTACACCACAAGAAGCCAATCAGTGGTGCATCAGTGTCGAGTGGTCTCAGCGTTCAGCCCCGGACGATGTGGTGGTATCTGCGGGAGAGATCTCCCGTTAGCAATGAATCCGCAATCGCAACGAAGACCAAAACAAGCGTATTATGTTCCGCGCGATCGAATGACAGGTGGGGTTGGGGGGAGTAAGGTGAGATACGCCAGACTTTAAATGGTTGAATAAGGTTTAGAATGATGATCTAATTGAACCCGACGGTATCAGCAAGGGAACAAAGAGACAGGAGGTGAGGCAGAAGTCGAAAAGATAAGGGAAGGCTTTGGGATCAAGCAAACGGGCAGGCGATCGATTGTGGGTGCAATCGAGGGGGGGGGGTTTAGATCAAGGAACTGAGTGGGAAGTGGGCATGGAGGAATACCCACCGACTAGTAGCTGATAGCAAGCCTCGGAGGCGCCCAACCCCACAAATGATACGGGAAGCTGACCACGAGTGCTCTGTACCGGCGGGAAAGGGTGGAGCAGGCGAGAAAGAAAGAATGGATGAGGATGGAAGAGTGAGGGTGAGTGAGTGAGTGAGTGAATGAAAAGGATCGAGGGAAAGAGAAGGACAAGAAGAGAGAGAGGGAGGGAGGCAAATGAGAAGATAAACTGAAAAGAGAAATAGATAGACGCAGTAATAATGGCCCAACTGAGAATCAGGCCGGATTATTTCTGCACCTGGATTTCCTTCTCCTGGACTTTGTTTCTCCCCCGCCTTTTTTTTTGTTTTCTTTTTCTTATTTTGGGTCTGATGTTTTAGGCTTCTGTGCTGGAATAAAAAGAAGAAGAAGATTAAGAAGAGAAGGAAGGAAGGAGGAGAAGGAAGGCGAGAAGTGGTTGTAGAAGACGAAAGGAGAGGTAAAGTGAATTAAAATGAAAATGATGATGGAAGATGATGATGTTGTACAGAGCGAACAATAATACGGGGGTGGGGAGGGGTAAAAGGGCACTAAACGGACAGTTAGAAAAGTGGGCACGGAGCAGTTGGCACGGGCGGCGGGACTGCCTCCACTGTCCAGTTTCCCCCCCCCCCCTCCCGTTACATTAATTGGTATTATGACTAGTATTATTTTATTATTGACCACCACCTTATTGACTGACTGCTTTCATTCTTCCTCGAATATTCAAACATCACTGTTTGACAGGTTTCATTTCCTAAACTCGAATTACACCTACACCACCACCATCACCACCACCACCACCACCACCTTCATAGCAACTGATAAGAAACTCGGCACATCTTCCATTGAATGCGATCTGTACCCAGTGGGCCCTTGAGATCGGGCAGAAGAACTCCACCGAGGCACAGTACACATACCGAACTGTACAAATCAACATACCGTTTGCGGCCAATGAATCCTCGGGGCCAGGCCATTCCAGCCCAGAGATTGCGGCGCTTTGATAACACCACACGCTCTCTCCGGACTGATCATCGATCATCCTAAACATCCCTTTCCAAATTGCCACATTATGGAGCTCGCATCCTCACCCTCTCAAACGAGGCAGAATGCAGAGAAAACGACCACAAAGTCTTGACGCAAGATTCCCAACAAAAAACCGATGAAGGCGCAAGAAAAAAGAACCACTCCTCTACAGATCCAATAAAACCCTTGACTCTCCGTCGGACCAAGATGTGACACGGAAACACAGGGAAAGCTGCAGCAAAGCCGTGCACACACACACAGTCTCGAATCAAATCAAATCTCTTCCTTCTTACCCTTAGCCCAGCCCCCCTCCCCTCCCCCCTCGCCAACCATGCAGGGCCCCTAGCAAAGAAGTGTCCTGAATGGGATGGTATTGAAGGTTGAGTGGTCGGAAAGTGAGTAGCTGGTTCTTTTACCCCGAGGTATCTACTTCTCCATCCCTGAACAACGGATTCAATAAGGGAAGGGGGCAAAGCATCCATGGTTCTTGTCAAGTCATGCGTTCTTTGATCCCCACCTGTTATGGGGAACATCCAGCCAGTCGCACGCGCGCTCAAAGAATATAGAATTGGCGATGACATCGAGATTACAAAAGCTTTTTCGCCCTCGATGTGATGATTAACTTATCATTTGGGTCTCGGTTACCATGGACACCCAGATGGATAAAGCAGTATCAAATCTGCTCTTGCAGCACTCATGATAGCGTCCCGCTTGGAAAGGAATCCGTTGTGCTACATCAACTCTGCCTGCCCCTGCCAACTAACCACAGTGCATTTTCTTTCAACCACTTCCAGCCGACGGACTCATCATTTACTGTCCACCATCAATGCTTTTTCCCCCTTCTCAATCCCGACCTGATAAATCCACATCCTGGTTTGCTGGGACCTTGCATGAGACTAACAGTGCAGTGTGCGGGGTTCCATGTCGGAGCGTTTGTGGTTTTTCCTGTTCTATAGTCCCTAACTTTCCCAGAACATATCCCCTAGCCCTTCTCCGGGAGCACGCGATCATCGACTTTCTAAATTAACTCATGACGACGACAAGACCGCGTGTCGCCGAGAACCACCTAGATATCCCAAGTATCCCTCCCGAGCAAACCCGCCCATAGTCTTCCACCTAAATTAGTTCTACATAATACTCATACCCGAAATCCGGCACCTGAAACCCACCACCCCAATGCTAGCAGAATCGGGCATCTGCTTCGCATCTCCAGGCCCGCCATGCCACCGAGCAAGTAGACTAGACGTCAAGTTTGACCCGGCCCAAAAAAGCACGGACCCCATGGACTGGCTCCATCCAGCTCAGGGCTGTTGGCTCCACCCCATGAATCGGGAGTCGAGTCTTGATGCCTTGCGCTAGCCTGCTTTATTTACTCCATAGTTCTACTGGACGCCTCCGTCCCGCATTGGGCTTGCTGGCGCCACCTGTAAGTACTGTACTGTACATAGGTATATCCGAGAAGTTGTATATACATATCTACCTGAACTAATGTAAGAAGTCTTCGTCTTCTCACACCACGTGGGTAAATCCCACACACGTACAGTGATCCCCCCCACCCTACTTGCGACTTCGTGTTCGCAGCAAGCGTGCTTGCATTGCAGGTGGAGGGGTGGGTCTTGTTGTTGGGGGGGAGGGGGGGGGTGCTTGGCCGTATACTAACTAATGTAGGGAGGGCCCGGGAGGCAGAGGGCATGCCTAGTGGGTCGTGGCCCGAACCACCTTCTCATTCCTCCCTCCTCTTCTGTGTCTTTTACACATACACTCCCCGAGTCAATTCCTCTTGCTTTCTGGGGGTGTGGATTTGCTGCCGATATGATTCAACATCAACGACGACACCAAATCGTGACATGAAATCCGCAATTCGATGTTGCTACAACGCACCCCCTTGACCAAAACCAGTAACCAAAACAAACAAACAATATATTTTGTCCCATCATCATCAAGGTGATATATACTGTACTATACATTCATAGACAAGCACTCACAGCTCCTCCGCCTTCTCCCTCAACTCCCTCGCCAACCTCAACAAGTAAAACCTCGCCATGTCAGCCGGGACGCCGTCGAACGACCGCGCGATCTTCTGCACGTCGGCCCTCGCCTTCTCGTAGGCCTGCAGATCCCGGTTCCCGTAGACATCCCGCCCGGCCGCATAGCCGTGGCTCAGGTTGCGGAAGAAGACGTTCACGGCCACGCTGACCTGGTCCTTCGCGGGGCTGGCCGTGTGCAGCCACAGCGGCGGCAGGAAGAGGATGTCGCCCGCGCGGAGTTGCGCTTCGTGCGGGGAGGTGTGTGGGATCGCGGCGATCGTGCTGTCGTCTCCCGTCTGGAAGACGTTGAGGGTCGAGCTGGAGGCGCCGGCGGGTACCTGGAGGTACTGGACGTCGCTGGGCGGGTAGAGGATCAGTCGCTTGTCGCCTCGGACTTGGCAGAGGACGTTCGCCATGACCTGTTTCGATTGGTGATTAGTTGTTTTTGTTTGTTGTTTTTGTTTATTGGTGTTCCTTTTCTCTGCGTTGGTTGGAGAACATTGGGCCTTCGTTTTCTCTTCTGCTAATACAAAGACAAGCACAACTTACATCGTAATGAAGCCACAAAGTGACGGGCCCCGAGATCCGCAGCGGGGAACTATGCGCGTTCTCCGAAACGACCGAAAAGGCTTCGGGCAGGCGGAAATCATCCTTCAGTCCAGCAAAGTCCACGGCCAGGTTGGCGGGCAATTTCGTGGGGTGGTCGGCCGAGATGCTGCGCAGGTATTGGCGGCCCCCCGCATGCACCTCGTCCAGGAACGTGCCAAACTCCTTGGTCGTGTAGGCGAAATTCTTCGTCTGGAAACTCATGTGCTCGGACTGAGCCTCATGCACGACAACCTAATTTTACCGGGGTTCTTAGCTTGACTCCAACCTTACTAGTTGATTTCCTGAATCTACATACCTTCCGGTCTCTGCCCACCGCGTTCGCTAGATATTCCTTGGTCCAGAGGTGAGTGCACGGTCCGATGTCCGATCCTTCTATAATGACGGGCTTTCCCTCAGCGAGGATCTGCCGGAATTGGGCAGCGGTTTGAATCTGGACGCGAGGAATAGGCGTTACATCCTTGGTTGTGGTGGTGGTATCGAAGCTGGTATTTGATGAGGTCGTCGGCAGTCCCTCTACTTTGGGAGGCGGTACTGTCTCAGGGACCATTTTCCATTCGTTGTCAACGCTCGAGTCGGCGCGCTTCAACAGCCAGGTGCCCTCCGTCCAGAATGTTCCGAAGGAGAAGCAGACAGCACCACCGCCTAGCAGGAGGACCTGATCCTCGTCTACTGCATAAGAGGCATGACCCACCAGCAGAGGCCTAGGTGCTCCGCAGTCTCTTCCCAGTCCTATAGTAGATAGAATGCTGGGGCTCGACGACGAAGGAGACCCGCTGCGAAGCTGGGTGGCGAGCTCCTTCAGATTAAGCAGTAACAGCTCCTGATGTGCAGGCACAATCTGACGAGGAATGCTGCCACCAGCAATCACTAATCCCCACGAAGTCTGGCTGGCGGTCGCACCGAAGCGGCTGAGGCTACCGGCAAGGGGCGAGAGCCCTCGCAAGTCTTTGGTCTGATCCTTGACCTCCAGACAATAGGACCTTTCGCCACGGCGGTGCAATGTCCAGGTCCAGAAGTCTTCCAGGATGACCCCATCATCACTCATCCCGCCGAATAAGACGCCGGAGGTGTTGTCGATGTTTGCCAGGCAAGCGCCGAATCGAGCCCCGGGGTTTCCGCCGCTGATCACAACCGGTAGCCATCCGTCCCCGTTGTTGCTCCACACCAACCAAGTATCAATGGTACTGCCATCGCTAGTCTTTCCACCGTATACGAGGACATGGTCCGAGTCGAACGCCACTCGCGCCGCACTATGTCTGAACCTTGCCGTCGGGAGACTGTCGGTCGGGCGCCACTGATCGCCTTGTCTTACCCAGCAATCTTGAAACCCTGCAGCTGGTGAAGCACGACCTCCGACAAGCAAACAATCGCTACCAGAGAGGTGGGTGATTGTGTGACACATTCGGGCAGAGACGTCACGCGGAGGGAACGGCCAATGAGGCTTCACAGCATCCTTGGATTTGGAGTACAGATCGGTCGTTGCCAATCGCGTCTGCCGTCCTAGTCCAGCGTGGTACCCAATAGAGCTATCTTCGTCTGCAAGAAGCGCCCCAAATCTTCTTTGCCCGACTCCGGCAGTATGGACTAGTTCGAACTCGTTCGATACGTTGGCCGAAGAGGCAGATAGTTCGGTCTGTTCGGTGGTCGGCACCAAGAATCCATCCTGGGTCGAGGCGATCAAGAGAAAATAGTGGGATGAGAAGAGCGCGAACTCCTCCCACTCGTCGAACGGTTCGACCTCGTCCAGAGAACGCCGCAGCGACCTGCTCACGAAATTGTCATCTGACCAGATATCCCAGAGACTCCTTGCGTGTGCATGCTGCCACCCGGCATTCTTGAACCGCTGCTCTTGTTCGTTTAATGAAGGGTATTCGTGGATCGAGAAGAGGGGCGCGCCGAGCTTCTTGAAGTGTTTCATCATGGTTGACGCGAAAGGATGGTCTGGTCCGTCGGGGAAGAACTGCTCCAGTATGCAGAATCGGGCATCTTTCAAACTCGGCGTCAGCAACTAGATGCAGTCTTTCCAAAGGGGATCAGTCGGGTTGTCTGACCATTGTTCAGCTGCGCGGCCCATTTCAAAACCTCATTGGCAGACGTGACATCCATGTACGTCAAAGAGACCTCCGCGAGGAAAAGAACCGAGCACTCGGCCGGAAGGACCTCTTTGCGCAGGACATCGTCCAGCTTCTTCAAGTTCTTCAGATCACAGCCGATGGCAATATAATGCTCGCTCTGGATCTGGATGGCACTATCGTCCGGCAAGAACTCTACATTCTCGAGGAGCTGCGTGATCTCCTCGGTCCTCCTAATGGCCGTTTTCTTATTGAGCATGAGCTTCTCGTAATCAATATCCACGAAACGCGTATCTTTACAAAGGGACTTTTCGGTGTTGAGGAGAATGAACGGTAGAGGATCACTACGACACCCCGACTTAGTATACCGATTCCAGCATGCCGGGCAGTTTCCTTCGACTACGACTCACAATCCACATCCTAAGTTCAGGACGAATTTCGGCTTGCCAGAGGGTTCCGCCATGAATTTGCGCACAGTTTCGGCCATTGCGTGCATACGGAGCCAATAGCCACGGTTGATCAACGGCGACCGGCGCTGGGGCTTCTTCACGAAATACCGAAAGTAATGCGGTTTAGGGTAGTAGAGCATCTCGACGCTGCGTTTCGACACGATACTGCTATTGTTGGTCTAAAAGAGTCAGGCTCGTATTTCATAGATTAGAGGAAATACATGGGTGGACAATGTAGATCGTGGCCAAGTATCGGCGCCGGCGCATAGTAGCAACCCCGCGACGGAATGGATAGAACTTACTCCCATGACTAGATCGGCCTCTTTCTCGGCCTTGGAAAGAGCTGGCGCCATGACGGGCTTCTTGGTAGGAGCCGTCGCAGGGCTAGCCTCCTTCTGCGCCGTCATCCTAAGCGACTGTGGGGGTTGGGGGGTTTGAGGAAACACCGAAAGAAAATTGATCGATGAGAAGAAAGCGGGATGGGAATAATATTTTAGACTAGTCTCTCCGTACTGTAATTGATCGGAGCGGCGGGCGATCAAGGTGTGGCCCGAGCGTCAGGTGCTCGCTTGCCGCGCCTGACGCAAACCGCGGCAAAGACGAACGAACGGCTGTTCTCCGATCCCTCCGCGTCCAACCAACCAGTCTGCTATTCATCCATCCCTCGCTATTATTGTCAACTGGAACGACTGCGATCGCTTTCCTTCTTGAGCTCGTGCAGCATCGGCTCTTATCGATCGTCGAAGTCTATCTTGCGTCTTTACCACCAGCACCCACGAGATATGCAAGGCGAACATCACCAACTGTGACGGAAGCGGTCCTAGGACGGGATCTGTTTAGCCCCTCCATTCAGCAACACTGAAGCTTGTCTAGGCCCCGCAGTTGCCTCAGTTCAAGTCGAGAGTATTTTGCATCGCTTGCTTCTCGGTCGCCCACATAGCTCGTCAATCCACACGGTCATAGATTCTTTGCGCAGAGTGGGACGCGGTCGATCACAGCAATCGGCACAGACAAGATGGCGATGAATTTCGTGACGTTCAACCAGGACTATAGCTATCTGGCCGTCGGTAAGGGCCCTCCGGATCATCCTCCAGCTTAACTCATGGAATATCTCTTGACACTTATCAGCGACTTCCAAGGGATTTCGTATCTTCACCACTGATCCTTTCGCGAAAAGCTATGAGACGAAGGAAGGGAACATTGCCATAATTGAGATGCTTTTCTCGACATCCCTGGTTGCGCTGATTCTGTCACCACGTCGCCTCCAAATAACTAATACCAAGGTTCGTAGGACACCCTTGTGCACATTGGTTGGGCTTCGCGGGTTCATGTACCTTGACGAAATAGCTGCTTTGTTTGCTACCTTGCGCACATGACGTATTTGGCTAACACTTTTGTCTTTCTTGATCCCACCTATAGCGCCAGTCGACGATATGCGAGTTGACATTCCCTACCACCGTGCTCGCGGTCAAGCTGAATCGCAAAAGACTTGTGATAGTTCTGGAGGATCAGATCTACCTCTACGATATTCAGACGATGAAGCTATTGTATACCATTGAGACTTCCCCGAATCCAAATGGTAAGACAACGCTCGTCGCCGCGCATTCCTTGTATGCGGTCTAACTTTACTTAGCAATCTGTGCTCTATCCCCCTCCTCTGACAATTGCTACCTCGCGTATCCCCTTCCCCAGAAGGCGCCACCCTCGTCGTTTACTCCTCCTTCTCATGCGCCTCCCGGCACCACACATATTTCACCTACGAGTGGTGAAGTTCTGATCTTCGACACTCTGAAGCTGGAAGCTATCAACGTTATCGAAGCGCATCGATCTCCACTGGCGTGTATAACACTTAACAGCGACGGTACACTGATCGCCACCGCTTCCGACAAAGGAACCATCATCCGAGTGTTTTCCGTCCCTGATGGTCACAAGCTATATCAGTTCCGGCGCGGATCGATACCGTCTAGGATCTACAGCATGTCGTTCAATACCACCTCAACACTTCTCTGCGTATCTTCCTCCACCGAGACCATTCACCTGTTCAAATTGAGCCAGCAGTCTCAGTCATCACACACCACTCCGTCATCGTCTTCGCCCACTGTTGCGGACCGGAGATATAGCCAAAGCTCTTTTGGCCAGTCCTCGGATCCGGACGATGTTGGCGGAGAGTCGGGCTCTTCTGAGCTAGCCTCCAGGAAACATAATGGAACCTTAATGGGAATCATCCGGCGCACCTCACAAAATGTCGGCAGCTCGTTTGCCGCGAAGGTGGGCGGGTATCTTCCCAAGGGTGTCAGTGAGATGTGGGAGCCCGCTCGTGACTTTGCGTGGATCAAACTGCCCAAAACCAATCAAGGCCCCGGCGCCAACGGCAGCAATGGTCTGCTTCGCAGTGTCGTTGCAATGAGCACCAACACGCCCCAGGTGATGGTGGTGACCAGTGACGGAAACTTTTACGTTTTCAGTATCGATCTCTCGAAAGGTGGTGAGGGAACGTTGACCAAGCAATACTCGTAAGTTTCCCTGTTTTGTCTTCAACCATAAATGGGGTCCATACTAAGCATGCAAACCACACAGTGTCCTCGACGCGAACGACCGATTGGGATACTCAGTCATGGATTACTGAATTTGTCTTAGATACCATTCATTTCGATTCTTGCTCTCTTTGCCTTTTGCTTCGCTAAATCAAGTCAGTCGTTTAATGAGCCAGTCGCATGTTGTTCTTTCTTTGAGCGTCTGCATTTCAACCTCTGTGTGTCTGTGTCCCAACATCAAGCCCGTCTACATGTGCAAGTCACTATCTCTTCGCTCCGTCCTTTTCTTGCTTCTTCTTTTCAGGTACTTAATTAGGGTTCCCTTTGTCCAGACTTCCGAGGACTTATTATATATGTGACTTATAATTCACCTGTGGTTGTGGCTGTGGCTGTTGTCTCTTTTGAACTGCGCGCCGCGCAGAGTAAACTTCCCTGTTCCGGTGAAATGAGGCTTTTGATGGAGATGTTTGGTGTGTATGCATCCTCGGGCTATACTACAAGGTTTCTGTAACTTAGTTCGCCTTTTGGTTAGTTCTCTTCATCTCTTGCTTTCTCGCTCGACTCATTGTATGCCTCTTCGGTACGATATATCTAAATTATGTAATGGACCTCTCTCTCCTCGCTCAAGTCAAAGATTTATTCACCACAAGTTGAAGTAGTCATTCATCACCGATGATGCATTACAATCCACACCAGTCACGATATCGGAAAGCAACGTAGTGTGCCTATGTATGACCTACACTGGTGAGGAGAGCACTTTCTCTGAGTTTAAATCAAGCTAATCATATTCGATAGTCACGCAAACTGCCCGGAAAAGTAGAAGCTAAACGAAACCGAAAAACCGAAACCCCACTTTTTAGTATGAATGATCAAGCCAAAACACACGGGAGCAAAGAGATTGCAAATTCTTGGGCGAGATGCGGGGTTGGCTGCTCTGTCGAGAGGCTCAGAGCTGTCGACTCTTCTTGTAGCGCTGCCACCAGAACACAGGCAGCAGACAGACCCCCAAGGAACTTAGGTTACGAAGGACAGGGAACTTCTTGCGTCGGTGGACTTGATGCTTGGGGTCCTGCGGTATCTCCTTCTCCGAGACAGTAACCTGTTTCTTGGTCTTGGAGTCAGCAGCAAGGGGATGAGGGTTTGCGGCCCGCTCGGCCGCCAGCTGCAGTACCAACAAAGGGATTATGGGGAGATTAGCTCGGTCAGCGTCAGCCAGGACAAAGTCTGAGATGCCCTCGGCGTCCAACGCGTTTAATCCGCCGGTCCAGCTCCGACAGTAGGTGCTGGGCAGTCCCCGCAGATGAGCAGGGAGTGGCTTGCTATCAGGGGGACAGCCAGGCCGGACAAACTTCGCTCTGAGCCTCGTCCCGTCGCGGGATACGTCGAGGGGCTCGATGCGGAACTCTTCATACACGTCGCAGTGAGGGTGGTGAAGACATGCCGCCCACAGCGCCTCCTCGTATGGGCCAGGGATGGGCTGGCCCAGGAAATCGGCCTCCAACGAGATAAAGCGCTGGGGGCCCCAGAAGATCTTCCGCGTGACCTAGAGCTTGCAGCCTTGTTGGCTGAAGCCGACATGCTGGATGTATGGGTATTCCTTCAGGTGTTTATAACGCCGCTTGCATTCACTGTCCGTGGGCTAGGCTACTATTTAGCGCAATATTAGGCTGGGAATTTAAGCACAAGAAGGCTCACAGGGACTGTTACTTCCGTACTTTCGAACGTCTGGGGTTGTGGGGATGATTGAGACTAGTAACACTTTAGCAGGCTATTGGAACGTGAAAAACAAGAAGAGGGCTCACTGGGGCTGTAGTAACAGTGCTCTTGGAAGTCGGGGGCTGCTGGAGATCACTGGGTTGCTTTATGGTCTGCGGCTTCTGTGTGAATCGATTCCGTTGGGGTTCCTGAGACTGGACAGTAGACTTCTTCCTGGAATACTGGTCCCCGGGAGCTGTGGTATTGGTGTTTTCAGAGGTCTGCGGCTGCTGTGAATCATCGGATTGCTTTGTAGTCTGCAGTTTCTGTGTGTATTGATCCCCCTGCAACTGCCTGGTCTGGCAACCGGAGTCCTCGCTGGATCGTTGGGCCCCAGGAGCTGTGGTATCAGTGCTCTCGGAAGTCTGGGGCTGCTGGGGATCATTGGATTTCGTTGTGGTCTGCAGCTTCTGTGTGCATTGATTCCCCTGGAACTCCTGGGTCTGATAAGTAGGTTCCTCCCTGGATTGTTGGGCCACTAGGATGACACATGAATTAGACGCACTGATTGGGGTATTACAACGCCGATACAACGATCCAGCTCACAGGACTTGATTATCTCTTCTGTGTAGATCCGGGCATCAGACGACGGCCCGATTTCATGGGGCATTTGCGCCGTTGGCACCAATGCTTCGAGAAAAGAATTATCGGCGCAGCAGAGAGAAGCTCGAATCCAAGGTTTCAGGCTGCGGATGCAGCAAGCATCGCAGAGGCTCTGGATATGACGCTTTTTGGCCTCCTCCTCCTCCTTGTCGTTGTTTTTCCTAGTGCGACCCATGGTTGCAAAAGTCCAGCAATGATGATTATGGACCGGGCTGTGAACAGGAAAAGATGAGGCAATGGGCTTATATATATCAGCTTTGCACCCCCTCCATGGGGTAGACCTCTAAAGAGCAGAATCCCCGCAGCTTCCTGCAGTGTAACATGTGCCAAAGGTCGAGTGTAGGCTTAAGTTCGCATGACGAGATGGTGACTACGCCTTGGACGACAAACGCTGCTTGTGCGTTTGGAATCTGCATTCCGTGGAACTGTACTTTTGACGACCAACAAGAGATTGACTTGGGGAGGGGAAACGGAAGATGTGGGCAATGTCTCAAAGCGCAGGACTCATCTCAAGTTCCGATTTGAGAGGCGTTCGTGTCCAGGGATGACTGGAACTGATCTAATCAGTGTTGTTTCTGCTGTACGTATATGTGCTCCGGGAGCTCGGATACACTGCCCGGTCCATAACTGGACAGGAAGAGTTGGTGGATACAAACGAGGCGATTGTAAACTCCTAGACGGCGAACTGAGACGCCGTCATTCGGTGAAAATGCCGCAAAGGTACTTCTTCAAGAACTTGGTATGAGCTTGCCTTCCAGCTGCAATCAATATGCCTTAGTTCACATTAGTGATATAGATGATTGGGAGATTAAATTTGTAGATGGTATTAGTGCAGCATAGCTATGCGAATGGTTCCAGCTGTGTCAATAATCTCAAAGCATATGATATAATTGTAGAATTATTCACCCTACAGTATCTTGAGGCAGGAGTAGAGTAAGATTAAAGTACCTTGGTTAGTTAGTTGATGATGCTGACATACATGGATTGTTTCACTCTTCTATTGGAGTCGAAGGCTTGGCGGTGCGGCCTTACATAAGCAGCCTAGCTCCACAGGAGCGCAACACCCGCCCGAGCGGCGAGGAACTGAGAGAGCTTCCTCTGCCTCCCCATCAACAAGCTTATGATTCCACCCCCCTCGTCATCGCCTGCTCCGTGAAGGTTTATTCTATTCGACCTTTACCACCTCGGATAACCCCCGTCAGAGCATCTTTCTACGCTCTAGTCTCCCCCCCATCCCCGATACCACACAGTCCTACTCGCCATATAATCGTCAGCAATGGCGCAAGATGGCGAGCGGTCAGCTCCCGCCGACAAGGGCAAGGGCAAGGTTGACGATGTGAAAGATTTGGCTGGAGGAAAGAAGGCACAGACCGGCGAGAAGCCTCAAGCCGACGGAAAGAAGAAGGACGAGGAGCCCCAGGAAGGTAGGCGATACATTGAGCCCAAGGCATGGGCGGGAACATCCCGACCCGACGCCGCTTCTGGCACCAGCTATGCCAGCTTGCCGTGCAGTGCTAATCAAATGATACAGAGGAGCTCAATGAAGAAGATCAGCAATTGAAGAACGAGCTGGAGATGCTCGTGGAAAGATTAAAGGTATGGACACAGCAGCTGTTGCTACAGGCCCCGATCGATGACGTTAACGCTCCGCTTTCCTGCCTAGGAGCCGGATACATCCCTCTACAGCCCTGCCTTGGATGCGATCAAGAATTTCATAAAGACCTCGACATCTTCGATGACCGCTGTCCCTAAGCCCTTGAAATTCCTCCGACCTCACTACGATGACCTCACGGCGCTTTATGACAAGTGGCCGGCTAGCCCGGTTAAGGTGCGTCTTCTGTTGTATGACGGCGCGGATCGGAGCGACAATCTGACCTTATCTCAATTAGGACTCCTTGGCCGACATGCTATCAGTTCTTGGAATGACATACGGAGACGAGGAGAAGCTGGAGACCCTGAAGTACCGCCTGCTGACCAAGTCGGAGGATCTCGGCTCATGGGGCCATGAATACATCAGACACCTGGCCTTGGAGATCGGCCAGGAATATCAAAACAGGCTAAATGCTGAGAAGGATGTACAAGATTTGATCGACCTTGCTCTTTCTCTTGTTCCGTACTTCCTGAAGCACAACGCCGAAGCCGATGCCGTCGACTTGCTGAGTGAGCTCGAGATCATCGAGGAAATCCCTCGCTTTGTGGACGAGAACACCTACGCCCGAGTCTGCCTGTATATGGTTAGCATGGTTAACCTCCTAACATACCCAGAAGACCAGCAATTCCTCCGCACCGCGCACGAGATCTATGTCACCTACAAGGAGCTCACCAAGGCCATTGTCCTCGCTATTCGCCTAAACGACACTGAGCTGATCAAGAGCGACTTGAACGCCACCTCGGACGATTCTATCAAGAAGCAGATGGCGTTCCTCGTTTCCCGACAGCAAATATGGCTCGATCTCCCGGAATATGAAGAAGATCAGCTATTCATGGACTGCCTCAACAACACCTCGATCCCCAAGCACTTCAAGTCTCTTGGCAAGGAGCTCAACATTCTGGATCCCAAGATGCCCGAAGATATCTACAAGACTCACTTGGAAAGCTCACGTGGCGCCGGCCTCACCAACGTCGATTCTGCTAGACACAATCTCGCCAGCGCTTTCGTGAACTCGTTTGCCAATGCTGGATTCGGAAACGATAAGATGATGCTGGTTGAAGGTGACAAGGGTCCTTGGGTGTGGAAGACGAAGGATGACGGCATGCTGTCGACCACGGCTTCTCTGGGAATGCTCATGCACAGAGATGTCGAGATCGGCCTGGATAAGATCGACAAGTACACGTACGCCTCGGAAGATCAGATCAAGGCGGGTGCTTTGTTGTCCATCGGTATCCTGAACTCTGGTGTACGGATCGACTCTGACCCTGCCCTGGCTCTCCTGAGCGACCCCGAGAATTTGGAGGCGAAGAGCGTGCCCATGCGGGTCGCATCGATCATGGGTCTTGGTCTAGCCTATGCTGGCTCCAACAAGGAGGAGCTGTTGGAGGTTCTCCTTCCGATCGTCGAAGACAGTGCGCTGGATATGCAGCTCTCTGCCATGGCTGCTGTCTCTCTGGGTCTCATCTTCGTTGGCTCTTCCAACCACCAAGTCAGTGAGGCGATTGCCTCGACCTTGATGGACGAGGAGAGACAGAAGCACCTGAAGGACAAGTGGACCCGTTTCATGGCGCTCGGTCTCGCCCTTCTGTACTTCGGTCGTCAAGAAGAGGTCGATGTTGTTCTTGACATCCTCAAGGCCGTGGATCACCCCATGGCTAAGCCCACCTCTGTGCTTGCCTCGGTCTGCGCATGGGCAGGCACTGGCACCGTCCTGAAGCTCCAGGAACTTCTTCACATCTGCAATGACATCATCGAGGAGAACGACGAGAAGAAGGGCGACGAGCTTGTCCAGTCGTATGCTGTACTTGGCTTGTCGCTCATCGCCATGGGCGAGGAAGTTGGCCAGGATATGATCCTCCGACAGTTCGGTCATCTCATGCACTACGGTGCCAGCAACATCCGGAAGGCTGTACCCCTCGCTATGGGTCTGATCACCCCTAGCAACCCCCAAATGAAGGTCTACGATACTCTTTCGAGATACAGCCACGATACCGACAACGACGTCGCTATCAACGCGATCTTCGCCATGGGTCTTTGTGGTGCCGGTACCAACAACGCTCGTTTGGCCCAGTTGCTCCGTCAGCTGGCTAGCTATTACCACCGTGACCAGAACTCCTTGTTCATGGTTCGCATCGCGCAGGGTCTTCTGCATATGGGCAAGGGCACCATGACCCTGAACCCCTTCCACACCGACCGACAGGTCTTGTCGCGTGTATCAGCTGCCGGTCTGCTCACCGTCCTGGTGTCCTTGATTGACGCCAAGCAATTCATCCTCGCCGAACACCACTACCTCCTCTACTTCCTCATCACTGCCATGTACCCTCGCTTCCTCGTCACACTCGATGAAGACCTACAGCCTCTAACTGTGAATGTCCGGGTCGGTCAGGCCGTGGATGTCGTCGGCCAGGCTGGTCGCCCGAAGACGATCACTGGCTGGCAGACGCAGAGCACGCCAGTTCTCTTGGCCTATGGTGAGCGGGCCGAACTCGAAGACGAGCAATACATCCCTCTCAGCAGCACTCTGGAGGGTTTGGTAATCTTGCGCAAGGTAAATATTGCGATCCACCATGTTTTTGCTGAGTGAAGTTTGCCTGCTAACTGGAATGCAGAACCCCAACTGGGAGGCGGAGACTTCCGCATAAATGAGACGAGAACTGAACATGAAACTTTGCGAGCTTGAATGAGCGCCGGGAAATCACAGCTTTGGGATTCTTGGACTTAATGTATTCAGAACGAACCGGAAATACCTTATATCAATTAGATCAATGGATATAGGAAGGGGTGTGTTCTAAGTTAAGAAGTTTACTCTTAAGATAGAATTAGTTTCGAGGACCCAGGTTGATTGACGTAATGCTTCCGTGTATATGTAGTGTAGATTCTTGTCATCGTCACAGCGGTTCATCAACATTGTCCGAGTTGTATACAGAAGGATCCCGAACAGGAAACTAGGGCATAGGGCAGTGGAGCCCATAAGTTTTCCCCGGGTACCTTCAGGGACGCCGCCGCAATCACGTCGAAGGCTTAGAGATAGGCGGCCGACTCCACTCTTGAAAATCCGACTGACTGTTCGTCATTTTGTACCTCTTCACCAACTCCAAATTTTGAGGAATTTGCGGCCATGAAGCTCGACCCCAAAGCGATCCGTTACCTGACGGCGGAGGACTTTCGCGTTCTCTCGGCGGTACGCTACGCCCCTCCAAGCATTTCCCCGCCTTGACTTTTTCTTGGTCGTCCATTTTATTTCTCGGAGCAAGCGCATGATGTATTGACCAAAGCTAACAGACAAATTTGTCTTTCTTGAGGAGAAAAGGTTGAACAAGGCAGTCGGAACCATGAAATCGTGCCGACGCCGTTGATTGCGCAGATCTCGGGCCTGCGCGGGGGCAGCGGGGTGCATCGATCGATCTCGAACCTTGCGAAGACGAATTTGATTGCGAAGGTGAAGAATGCTAAATGTACGTCTGCCTGCTTGCCTTGCTATTCAAACCTTGTCTACGGTTCTTTTTACTTACCATACTTATTTTCTTGGGACAGACGACGGCTACCGGCTCACCTACGGCGGGCTGGACTACCTGGCGCTGCACGCGCACCAGAAGCAGAAGGTGATCTACTCGGTGGGCAACCAGATCGGGGTGGGCAAGGAGTCGGACATCAACGTGGTGGCCAACCACCAGAAGCAGCAGTGCATCCTGAAGATCCACCGGCTGG